TGAATGCAGTTTTTTAGAGGGTCGAATCACAAGTCTTTAGAGGTATGCAACTTTGGAATCGGCTTAATTTTGGTAAAGTTATGGACTCCCGAAGTCTAATTTTTAGTCACTCTTTTACATTACATCGGAAAATTAGAAGTAACTAACATGAAAATGAGTAAACAACTTGATCAACGTTAAATTGAAAAATTTAATTTTTGATATTTAATCTTACAGGTTCAAAAACTATTCATTCGATCCAAGATACGCTGAATTATCTCTATTACCTTTTTTATTAATAATAAAACAAGCTGAGAAGGATGAATTAAGAAATAATAATAATAATAGTAATTAGCAATATCTTATTACTTATTTAAAAGCTTTTTTACGTTTTCGTAGTGCAATAAGTTAAACATTTTTAATAAAAGACGGTAAGTCTTGATTTAATTTCCCAAAACCAATTTTCTTAATAAAAGATTGATGACTAAAAAAAATTTCGTGGTTTTTCAGATAAAACAAATATTTAATGCATTTTCCAATGCTCTTCGTTGAGCTTTGCAAACTCCTGCACGAAATTAAACCACCCTCTCAGAGGGAATATAAATGGGCATGTGAAATGAGTCATTACAGATATGGTATATATATGCAATCAGGCGGCATTCGCCCCCTCAGCCCCAAAAAAGGCACCCCCTTCACCCCCGGGGGCAACCACATCGAGTCATTTGTTAACAATCCAGAGCGGTGGCGGTTTTCAGGGCCAGCGCCAAATGCGCGGAAGTGTGTAGTCGGATGTGGTTAAGCATACGCCATGTGGGCCATCAAAATTTTGTTTTTGTCGTCGCTGCGCTCGTTCGCTGGCGCGCTTTTGATTTACACATTTTTTTTGTTGGACTTTGGTGTTTTTTTGTTTTGCTTTGGTGTGGATTTGGGGATGGATGGAAGTGGCGGGGGTCTGAGTTTTATTAAGCAAATGTGCATGAAAATCTATGCACGGATACGCGCGCAATAATGCGAAATTTATGGCTTGCAAACGTGACACTCCGTGCCAAAGCTACAACTATACTGCTCGTCCTGCACTTGAAAAAATTATGTATCTTATATATAAATCTAAAAATGTTAAAAACAATCTACCAATATTTTATTTATATAATGATTTTTCAAATAACATTCAAATGTATATAATTGTTTTAATTTTAATTTCTTGATTGTTTTTTTTTCTAATATATTTGCATTTTATTTGTTTTTTATTTATTTATACCAAAATGAGCAAGCCAATATTAATTTATCTCCACTCATATATAAAATGAATTTACTGATTTAATAATTACCTTTACGTTTTAAAGGTAAAGTACAAGATTTCCTTTTTACAAGTTTAAAAAGTTGTCAATTGAAATATTTTTGAGTGTAAGCCCCATACCACTTCGACCACGCCCCCTGCCATGCGGAAACTGCTCATTTCGCCTCCGGCTGAGGAATGAAGGGTTGAAGGCAGATGCCCCTCGCAGTTCGCTCAGCATGCAGTTTTAATTGTTTTGTCGCTAAAATATGTTGGTTGCCTCCCAATGTCTGTGCACTGTAGCTCCCCTCGTCTGCTGCATTTTATGGCATTTAATTTTGTGTAAGCACATACACACAGAATATTTACAAACTTTCGCTTTAATATTGTATCATAAAATAAACAGGACGAGGATATTTGTTTCAACTCTAGTTTTCCTCTCACATATTCCCATTTCATTTGCATGTTTTAGTTGACCGCAGTGAGCACTTATTTGTCCCGAATTTTTTCACAAATTTTGACTGCAGTTTTTCGCCGTTTCATTTGGATTGCAATTGATGTTGCTTTGAGGATAACCATTGGTTGCAATTGATGGGAAAAACTATCAATAAATGATGGCCATTAATGAAAAATGCGTCCATAAAAAGTTGTAATATAGGGAGGAGTCAGGTTGATGTTTAGTTTGGTTTAACATACACAAATTTATAAGATAAATTGAAAAATAATCAAGAAACTAGGATCAATTAGGTAAAATGAACTATAGATATTATTATGACTTTTAATTTTGATTCACTGTCAATGAAAAAGGAAACAACAAACCTATTTTTAAAAGTAGCAAATTAAATTGTTTAAAATAAAATTTTAATTTTCAAGTTTTATTGCTAATAAAATACTAAATAAAATTAAAATGATTACAATTTGGAATAACTTTTTTTTTATTAATCACTTTAATATAAAGCAACTTTTTATTATTATTTAACTTGAATAATTTTTTTAACGCTTGAATTTGCTTTGCTTCGCTTACATTATTTATTCGACTATATATTTTAAAATACCCACTCCCTGGGAAGTAATGTTAAAACATCAACTACAGCATTCAAACTCTCAAAGAGCACGGATCCGAATCCGCCATCAAGGACCCAATAAAATGGTTCCGTCTAAAATCGCAATTCGCTTTAATTTGAGTATGATATCAAACCAAATTGATTTCTTTATCCCGCGCATTCCCGCCGTCAATATAGTCGTTGGCCGTCTTTTACGCCGATTGCTGCCGACCACGCCCACAGCCGCAGCGTGGGCGTTTTTATGGCCCGCTTCTTGTTTTTACTTTCCCAAATATACATATATATATTTTTGGTTTTTGCGCCACGGTAGTTTCTCTTGGTTTTTTTGGCTTGGCAGTTGCAATCGAATTGGGTCCTGGGATTTCTATTAGTTCGGTTGCCAGTTGTTTTTTATTTGCGTGGCTTTGGCTTTCATTTGATTTGTATGGGATGTTTGCATATTTCAGCTTTGATTTATTGTTGCGGCGGGCGAGTAAAGTGCCGACCGCCCCCATCTCTTTGGGAACTTCTGCTAATGGCCGTTGGCGTTGCCATTTCATTTCAGCAACAAGTTTTCCCCCCCTTTCACGGCTAATGCAATGCAGCTTGCAGCTCTCAGCTGCAACTATCGCAAACACTTTGAGTTAGCCCCCAGAATTTACCCATTTTCCCACTTTCCCGCCGATTTTCCCAACACCATTTCCCCAGCAGCTGTGACAGGCGATGGCAAAACTTTTTAATCTCGTTAGCTTGGACGGCATAATAAAATTAAAGCCCGATGCCAGGGCACTTTTCAGGTAGAGGAACTTTTGTGCAGAAATTTCAATACGCCATTTAAACTGATAATTGTTTCGTATAAATCATTTGGGTTTTAGCCGACAAACATATACACACAGGAGCAGAAATTACCTTTTGGTCGCGCAGAAAGTTAATTAAAAAATTGTGGCCAGAGAAGCGGCCCAGAGCTTTTGTCCAAGTAGCTCGCCGCTTTGGGGCTCAAATAAACTGCAATTCAATTAGGGACGAGGCCATAAATAAAGCCGCACACACACAGCAGGACAGAGGGGGGAATTAAGTTGAGAGGGGCCGCCCACTCCCACCGTAGGCATATTTAGTTAAATATTATTATAATTTCACTTTCTTTTTTCTTTTTGCTCATCGCCTTTTGCGGTTGGCGAGCACACGGAACAGATAAAACGATTCTAAACACTGGAAAAAAATTCCCAGCCTTAACACAATTAGAGAAAAATGTTAGCATTGATGATGGCACTTAAAATATGTTACCATTATGACAGGATTCTACTACGATTTAAAAAAGTACGAGCTGGAACATTAAAACCCTTAGTCCAGTATTCCAATTTCTACTTTGGGTATACCTTTTTTCCCAGTGTATCCACATCCCTACCCATTTTACTACTGCCCCTATCCCCCACCATTTCTCTCCTTTGGCTTTTTTGCGGTTTAATCTTTTATAAATAACAAATGGCGTAAGTTGCCTGCCTTTTTGTCAGAGTGGGCGTGGCATCTCTGGGTGGGACTGGGATGGAGGGGGTGTGGCCGGGGGGCTGGCCGTGTTTTTAGGTATTTCGCATTTTGAATGCCACTCGTTTTGGGCCGTTTTTGTCTGTTTCAGCTAAAATGAACCCGAGCCGGAAAAGTTTAAATTTGCAATAAAAAGCCCAAAACAACAAAGCAATGCTAATAATTAAAAGTACCAAATAAAAAACACCCTACAATGAAAACAAAAAATAAACATTTTATTGTAAAATATATTTTTACATTTATCAGAATACATATATGTTGAATTTCTTGTCAAATTTCCAACTGTTATATTTATATTTTTAAATCAAATTATTGGTACTTTAAAATTAAGTTAATATTTTCCACGCCCATGGATGCTTCCTGTTGAGGACAAGTTCCAGATCTCGAAGGGGAAACTGTAACAAAATATAATAAAGAAGTATACAAATACAAAATTTTCGCTGTGGCAACTTGGGCTAAAGTAATTATTTTTAATAATTGACTTGGTGTTTGCTTGAATTTTTTTTGGTCGACCTGCTACTGCCACCCGCTTTCTCCTTGGCCTGGAAAATGTTTGAACTTTGAACTAATTTGGCAAAGTTTTGGCTCTGTGTCCGTGTATGCATGTGGCTCCTCCTTCATGGCCGTGACTCTGGCAGCTGTTTGGCCAAAAGACTGCCGCCTCTGACCTCCAGACCGCAGTGGGCGTAGCTCAAACTAATTAAATTTATGGGTCTGGCCAATTTTTTATTCACCGGCAAAGTCAAAATTTGAATTTAAACTTAAACAAATGGTAATTAGATACTAGAAATGCTGGCGAAAGTGGGTCTTCAGAACTTTGGGAACGCAAATTCATTCATTAAAATATTAAAAAAGTTAAAGGAGTTGGAGAAAAATATATTTTATAAAAGCTTAAAGCTTACTAACTGACTTTTTATTTTTATGTAGATATGGCGTTATCTTATGTTATTATTACAGTAGGCTAAAAATTTTCTCGTATTCACATTAAACATTTCGTTAAACTTAAGCACTTTATAGCTTTGATGTTTCAATTCCTAAGTTTCAAATGGATGTTCCGGAACCACTTTAACCTACTTATCGAATCACAATACCAGGGCTGCGTATAGTGTGCCCCAAGCGATCAATATTTCGTACAATCGATAAGCAACCCTTTCTCAGAAAGGCTTTCTGTCATTTGCAGAAAACTTAAAAAAATATTTGGTAATTTCGTACGTAAAATGGACTTCAATCATTATGTTGATGGGGCTCTCACCTCACTTTTGGACACTGCCAAATTCCTTAAGGAAATAAGCGATTGTAAGTACCGCATGATCGCAGAAAAGAAAACATTTCAACAAAGTTGTAATACCCAACAGCCGTGTCGGATTTGGGTGGTGGTGATGAAATTCGTAATTTGGTAGAGGAAAACGCCAGTTCGCGTGTGGAACAAGCCGAGAAGATTATTGAGCTGAAGACAAAACACAAGGGACACTTGGAGGCGATGCAGCAGGCCAAAGACGAAAGCACCACCGTTGAGGAGTTCGAGCGGATTTGGGAGGAGCGCCGGGATGCACTGGACCGGAAGCCCATTGATGTGAAGAGCGCTGCCGAGTATCAGAGCTTCAAGCGGGCCGTGGAATCAACGCTGGCACAACCGGAAGCTAACGAGACCGGCGACGACGACGTAGTCCCAATGGAGTTGCCGGGGGTCAATGTCTTCTCACCATACGATCCCTGGACCAAGGCGCTTATAAAGAACCCCGTGCGCAACAAAGTGTGTGGGCACATCTACGACCGCGACTATGTCCACAGCCTCATCAAGGACAACATCGGTATTCGCTGCCCAGTGGCCGGCTGCGCCAATCGAGCTTACATAAACCCAGGCCACTTGATCGAGGATGCGCAAATCAGACACAAGATGCGCCAGGTAATGAACCAGATTGCAAAGGTTGATATAGACGAGGTATCTTCCGACGACGAGGAATCCAAATAGAAGGGTTAATGGACTGGACCATTACCTTCCCTTAAATCTAAGAAAATATTTGATTTTCGACTTTTTGACTTTAAGAATGTATTCACATGTAACCACCAAGGCACTACAATGAAAATGAAATCCACATTGATTGATTTTTAAATACATATTGAAAACCATTTTGCATTAGATTCAATTTGGTTTTTATTGAATTTCAACTTAATTACTTCACACCAATTTTTTTTTTTCTGGCTTAGCTCTCGCTTAAATACTAAGACGACTTAAAGACTTGGAGTAAAATTTGATTTTTAACTTAACGGAATTTATGTATAATTTATATACTTTTGATAAACCCTGCACATTGAATATTATTTAATTTTGGTGAACTCAAATTTAAATAGGTGCCTCTAAACATGATAAATTAAAATTAATCGAAACATAATTAGGCAAAGAGTTAAGTATTAAATTAGAACTCCTTTTGTAAAGAATTGCTTTTTAATTAATTTAATTGTCCAAAAAAAATCTGCTTATTCATTTAATCACATAAAATGTATCCAACAAAAAGGCTGGCAAGTTGCACTGTATTAAATTAAATAAGTTTAACCATAAATATTCAAATGCAAATGACAACAAACAATTGAAAATGAATTTTGTTCGGGTCTAATTAGATAACTAAAACAAATACATGTGTAGCATAATTAATTTGCATTTTCCAAACATTTCTCTTATTATTTGCTCTCCTTTTACATTCCCACTTTTTATTTCCCTGTTAATATATAATAAATTATGTACACAAACTGCAAATATTTAGCAATTGAAAGCTGAACGCAATATAGTCGATAAAAATATAAATTGCAATTCGATGCTGTAGTAAAGGAAAGCGTGGAGAGCAATTCAATTAATCCAACATTTGTGTAGTTAGCGGAATTTGACTGTTGATCATTGGGATTTCACGATTGAAATACAATAATGTTCTTTGTTTGGGAATTCCTTAAAACTTCTTTAAAATACCTGACACAAAAGACCTATAACCTCCATTGCCATAATTAGCACAGAAGCTTCTAAGTCCTTTGGTCCTCTACCATTTACCGTGTTTTGCACTCCCAGGAGCTCTGAATTGCACACGCGACCGAAATAAATTAGCGCCCCGACACGAACGAAAGTAAAGTAAAGGTATTAAACCGATCGCCTGGCATAAGCGGAGGTCCCCAAAGTAAAGTTCGCAGGTGGGTAAACTTTTTTGTGCGTTTTGTGGTGTTTTATATTAAACTAAAATACATTTGTGGTGTTTTATATTTAACTAAAATACTTTGTGTCTAACAGCAGCACTGAAAATATTTATTGCTTCTTGTTATATTGTCCCTATTTGTATAAATATATTTATAAATAAACCGACTTGTAGCATTCTAATCCTATAAATTTATTCATATATATTTTCCCTTTTTATATGTTTTCAGATTTACCTGATTTTATGTAAAGACTACCACATCATATTTATATTCAAGACATCTAAAGCTTTCTTTCGCCTAGAATTTCAAACGATTGTTCTTCCACTCTTTCTGGAAAACATCTTAAAACAATAACATCTGCGGAGTAGAGGAAGTAAAACTCCTTACGCAGACAGAGGCATTTCCTCATCCGATTTTTCCCTCCTTTTTCCACTTCCAACTTGGATTTTCCTTTTCACTTGGTGGCGTCACATGCGTTGGCTTTTCTGGCGTTTTAGTGTAATTTCCGCAATCGTTTCCGACAACATATTATGCCGCTTCCCCTATTGATATTCCCTGAATTCCTCTCCCTTTCACTGAATGATTCGTTTATTCAATTATTAAGTCATTCAGTAAATTTAAAGTTCGACATTTATAATTTTTTTTCCGTTTTCTGATATATTTATTTAACATTTTTCCGCTTTAAAAACACGGCATTTAATTGAAAGAACTATAAAAAATGTGTGACTCGCAGAATCTTAAAATTTCTTTAAGAATTTACAGACTAGTTTTTGGCCTGTGCTTTTATTTTATTAAACCATATTTCGCCGCTTTCCTCCAGCTTTCTCTCATTGTCAGTTGGGTTGTGCTCGGTCAAATGGTTTGTTGCATTAAATTTATAGCGCACAATAAATTTTTGCGGTTGCTGGCAAGACTTCAACGCGCCAAATGCCGCAGGGCAATTACAACAGTTGTGGAGGACGGGGGGTATGGCCAAAATATACATGCAAAAATATGGAGAGAAAAGGGGGAGGGAAAATGGAGAAAGGGTAATGGAGAAAGCGGGAAAGATTCGTTATAGTGGCCATGCAGCAGTTTTGCATTTAAAGCATATGTACACCTCTCACTCACTCCATCCTGCATCACTCATAAGAGTTTTATGAATAATATCCTAAGGGCATTAATTTTAAAATTGGATATTTTTGGCCATTTTCGCCGGCGGTGCACAACTGTAAACAAGAGTAAATACTTCAAGGATGCATGGGCCAACAGGACCCCAACCCCCAAAAAAATCCTGGGGCCATATTGGGGTAACAGACCGAAAAGAGCGAAATATGTGTAATATGATTAAATTTTATCAACAAGCAACTGCCAGCGTCAGAAAACAACAAAAGCGAAGCTTTTAGTAGGGAGGTTGGGAAAATCTGAGGGGGTTGGAGGCAAAAGAATGCCCAAAAGGCAAGGGAAAACATATGCTGGAACAGAAAATACAACAACGTTTCAAGCACGTTCCAGCCAGCTTCGTCATCTATAAATGTATGGGTCCTGGTCATAAGTACCGAAATTTACATATCCCTTGCTTTGAAACTTTTAGGGTATGACAGTACAAGTGATTTTGCCTTACTTATTTATTAATAATATAATAAATTAAATAAATAATCTAACTGGTAATCTACATCATATTTTAAATATTTACATTTTTATAAATTAAAGATAAAATTAAATTATGGCAATATATTGCTGGGTATCACAGGGTAAATCGATGTACAATCTCAGATTTACTTTTCTGACATCACAACCTCTGTTTGTTCTGTATGTGTTTATGACTTTGGATGGCAATGTGTTATTTATGGCTCATTTATGATTTGTACGCGTGATATTTGTGAGATATTGTAAAATGGGAAGCAGATCAACCGTTTTCGGAGGGAACGAGGCGACATTTGGCTGTGAGCCTTTTGCATTTTGATTGCAGATGTGTGTAATGGAAAGTGGGGCAAAGTAAGGCTATGGGACTACCATCCTCCATTTATGGATTTTCCATCGAACCCGATTATAGTACTGCCATTTTTATGACAATTTCTGACTTAATCCAATAACAAACTTCACCAACTGCCACTCACTGCTGTTTTCCACTCATTACTGCCCATGTTGCGCTGTCATGTAACTACATTGCAATCGGATTGCAAGCACTGGTAAACACTTTAAAAAATACTTTACAAATAGTTTGAAACGTAAGTTTATTTTCTTAAAAATATTGGAACTAATTTTTTTATATTTATTTCCGATAATACTTAAAACAAATAGCTCATTTATAGCCATGTTTTAAAAGGTTTTCCTACCTCACTTATAATCCTTAATTACACAATAAACCAATTAAAAATGTTTGTTTTTAAATTATAAAACGAATACATTTCTGATCCGTTTTCGCCGAGTGTACATTACGCATACGCCGCGGGTGTCGCCATGTGCCATTGGCAATTGACAACTGTTGCTGCCGCAAGTGGTTGCAACTGTTGCGGAGTCGCTGTCTGATTGAATTTTGATTGTTGCACTGGATTTTTGCATAACTTACTGCAGCAAGTTGCCCCACCTCCCCTCCCCTCCCTGCCCTTCATCATGTGCAACTCGGCTTGCTGATAAATCTAATCAGTGTCGCGGCCACACTAATCTGCCACGCCCCCCGCCTGCCCACCTTTAAGGCTTACGTTGAGTAAAAGTTTCTGCCAACTTCTCAGCGAGTGTGAAAGAGGGGAAAAGTTTTTACTTACGTTTTTTATATTATTTGCGCTTGGCTTTCCCCACTCTCTCTGTCTATCTGGCTTCTTGCAACACTGCACGTAGTAACTTTTTATTATTGTATTAGCAAAAGTTTATTTTTTTTTTCTTTCACCACCCCTTCGGCATCTTTGACTTGGCTACAGCTGCGCCTCAAGCCGCGGCAATCGATAGTTGTCTGCGAACACAACTGTACACACTTGTGCTCATGGGTAGTTCAAGCCATATAAAAATACCCACTCCTCCGCTGAAGTTCGCTGAGATGTTGCGCTTTTGTGGCCGATGGTTTAGATTTAATTTGGCAAACAGCAAAAGGGACGGGGCAACATTTTGACAAAGTGCCCATCGTCGATGTCCTCGTTTGAGACTTAGCCATTGCATAGTGGTTCCAAGAGTTTTTTATTCAAAAGCGCCAAATAAAATGGTTTAAGAAATATTACAAGTTTAAAAATGTTTTTTAAGACCCTTCTATTTTAGGTACTAAAAGAATTGACTTGGGAACTTAAGATATTAAATACGCACTAACATATTACTTTAATTTCTTCTCTCATACTATAATAACTCTATAATACTTCAACATAAGGGGGGTGAAATATGGGTCAGTATTCCATTTAAAAACACTTTTCCCAAATCAAAAAACATTCCAAAGAAATGGTTTTTGTGTCTCAAAATATTGTATGGAGGTGTTCGTTTTGAAAGCTATATTAAATATACCAATACCCTTTTGAGACTTTTAAAAATATATTTATCAAGAGAGTTTCCAGCGTTTTAACCATTGAGTGATTTATTTTTTAACAAAGGACCTAAAATCTCCCTATGAAATAACCTCTTCAGCTGGCTCCTTCAACAGCCACTCAAGGTCACCGTTTAAAGTTCTTCAGCGAGCGACTCAGCTCGAATTTGTAACCACTGTCGCATTCGTGGCAAAAGCAACTTTGTTGCAGTCTCTGTGGCCCTGTGCAAGTGCACTTATGTGTGGAGTTGAAGGCGGCAGCGCCAAAAAAAAGGGGGTGGGTGGGTGATATGGGGGCGTGGAGGGTTGTGGAGCCACTTGACAGCCACAAAGGCGCTTGGCTTGTCACCCGCTACTTGGTCAAAGCATTGCGTCAGTCAAGTGGTCCTCGAAACAGTTAAGCAGCGATGCCGACGCCATAAATGTTGCTCCTCCAACCCAGGCTTCCACATCCTGCTCCTGCTTCTTTGGAGTT